GTCAGGGACCTAGGAGGAATAAGATTGGAAGGTCAGTAAAAAACATTCTGTATCCAATTCCAATGTGTGGTGGGAGTTTTTCCAGAGCACCAAGCAATTCTTGTCCACCATGTGGTGTCCTATAGTTTAGCTTAATTCTGACTGTATCTACCTGGAGACAGCATCAGATCCCACTAGTTGAGCATTCACTCTTTTAAGACCTCACCCCACTTCAGGCACCAGTCTCAAATCTAGGTCTTTTTTTTTTTTTTGAAGATTTTATACATTTATTTGACACAGAGAGAGAAAGCACACAAGCAGGGGAGAGGCAGAAGGAGAAGGAGAAGCATGCTCTCTGCTGAGCAGAGAGCCCGATGATGGAGGACGATGCAGGGCTGGATCCCAGGACCCTGAGACCATGATCTGAGCTGAAGGCAGACGCTCAACCGACTGAGCCACCCAGGCACCCGTCAAATCCAGGTTATTACTTGTACTTCTTACGGACTGGCTATAAATCAGAGGTCCCAAGACCCCCTCTGCGGGTTGGATTAATTTGCTGGAGCAGCTCACAGGATGCTTACTAGATCACCAGTTTATTATAACTCAGCAACAGCCTGATTGACAAGGTATGGGAAAAAGGCACGGAGCTTCCATGTTCTTTCCAGGCATGCCACTCTCCCATACCTCCAACGCAGGTCTTCAAACACTGTTCCTTTTGGGTTTTAAAGGAGGCTTCATTACAAAGGCATGATTGTTTTTAAAAGATTTTATTTATTTATTTATTTGAGAGAGAGAGTGAGCAAGCGAGAACACACGCCAGCAGGGGCAGAGGGAGAGGGAGAAGCAAACTTCCCACTGAGCAGGGAGCCTGCCCCGGGGCTTGATCCCAGGACCCCGGAATCATGAGCTGAGCCCAAGGCAGATGCTTAACTGACTGAGTCACCCAGGTGCCCCTACAAAGACATGATTGATTCAACCTCCAGCCCCTCTTCCCTCTGTGGAGGTCAGGGAAGGAGGGCTGAAAGTTCCAACCCTCTAATTATTCAGTTGGTTCTCCTGGCAACCAGCCCCCATCCTTTGTGTGGTCCCAAAGTCACCTCATTCACATAACAAAAGACACCTTTATTGCTCTCCTCACAGGAAATTCCAAGCGTTTTAGGAGCTCTGGGCCAAAAACAGGGACAAAGACCAAATATATATATATATATATATATTTAAAGATTTTTATTTATTTACTGAGAGAGAGAGAGAGAATGGTAG